AACAATGTGTGTATAGAGGACTGGAATTGTCTTCCAATGGGCTTACAAGCCAACGAATTCCGTGTGTAATTTTTTAGACAACCACTGTAAGAAAATATATGAAGCATCTATTTATTTATATATAGTTCACATCGGAAATACGCTAAGCCCTACCCGCCGATTTCAAAATCGATACAGACCGGTCTTAGAAGGTAAACGGCCCATGTTAATGTTGCGAATTATCTGTCTGCCGAAAACTGTCCAATTTTTGAAACGGCAAGGTCACCAGTTTTTTCAAAAAACGCCCGTGTAATAACAGACCCGGCCAGGTTCGCTGATGCAAATATTATTGTCTGTTAAAAACGGTCCGCCCTAAGGATTCCCAACTAACACTTTTCAAAATAATCACAGTATCACGCAGTTTCTCTTTAGATACGAATTGGACGCATTCTTTTATTGTTCGTATGTGAATCTCATAATCCTTTCCTCTTGATTCGTTTATTATTTTTTAACTATCCCTACTCACTTTATTCAAAAAGCCGAATGACATGCTTAATCAGTGAGCACGCTACTTTGTTTGTCCATTAGGAGTTCAAAGAATTCAAAAGAGAAGAGGGCGCGACCGTCATCTAATCATATCGGGGGAGAAAGGTTTTGTATTGCTGTGAATAGAACAAGCTTTCCGAATTGGATGCGCCCATCATTCCCCTTCTAACGCAAAAAAGTCCTGACTCAACCCAATTGGAACGGTGTACAAGCCCTTTTGGGTTGCAAGCAAATCCCAGAAAGATCTCAGGAGAACACTCCATTGCAGAGGGGTGGCGGTCGCAGCTGCAAACGCAGCAGCGATTGTCATTACGAGTTCACGCCTCATCGACGCCGAATTAAGCCCCACCAGAACACTCTTCGCCTCCTCCTTCAACGCCACGAGTCCCCCAAGCTCGTTTCGTTTCGTAGCGGGTTGCCTATGGGGTGGCGCACAAGGGAGGACCTCAGCTCTGTGCGGGCTCTGTTTTTGCCAAAGAAGTCACACCAACGAAGCTTAAGCACGAGCTCTGGAGATCCGCGGCGACGAATAGGGTTAATTCTACTGATATGGGTTCAGTAGGCTTTTTCAACATAGTGATCAGGACTAACTGTCGAGTCTCATATAGAGTTTATCTTAATGTGGTTACCAGAAAAGAGTTTCCTTAGACGCTGTTGTCTGTTCCATCAACGCAAATGGTTCATAATTGAAATGGATACTTCTCTTTCTCAGGTAACATTATGCAAACAATTTAGTGCACCGAACGGGTGACAAAAAATCTTCCATCTCAAACAGTGATCCTCGAAGAGTAATCAACGCATACCGATTCTAAGAAATCATTCCGGTGTTTTCTTTTGTTAAATATATCTCTTTTTTTTGTACTGTATCGTTTTTCCTCGCACTTTCTTCACAACGGACATTGCTTTACACACTTTTATATGATATCCTTTTTATATTTGATCTTCTCCTCTTGTTTCCTTTTTCCCACTAACTTGTTGCCTGTCACCTATGCCGATTCCTTTTCGTTTTGAAATGAGCCCCTTGATGAGTTTGGGCTCGAGAGGCTGTGGTCCCCGAGGAAAGGGCAAAAGGGACAGTGTTCCCGAGGGACCGCTCAGGAAAGATCCCTAGCACCGAGGGATGACGAGTGGGAACGAGAGACAGATTTTGGTTTCATTCGAGAAAAAACAGTCGAGGCAAAGACGGCAACTCGTACTTTTTCTGTTGGCTTCGTTCAATCGTAGGTCTTGCCTTCCTTCTTTGTCTGTTACCGCCGTAGAGCGGGGCGAAAGCCTTTAGACCGTTACTTGAACCCCTCCACAAGAACACTTCAGATCCCTTTTAAAGACAACTGCCAAATGCACTGGTATACCGTCGTGGCCCTCGGCCGTTTTAGGGAAATAGGTGTCCAACGTTTCCTTGCGCGAGTCGACCAACACATCCTACTCGCATGTATCCATAGATGTAGCAAAAAGAACATTCAGCTCACTCTGTGCGCTCCTCCTGCACTAGCTGTCTAATAATCATATGGTTTAGGCAAAAAAAAAAACGAAAACTACGTAAAATCGTGACACTGCATACAAAATGCGATCTACTCGTTTCGTAATCGTGGTATTATATTATATATGGTATTATAAACGCCAAGTCGGGTTAGACATGATGACGTTCGACGTTTTAAGGCGATCTCTGCGATACATTTTACAAATGGTTCATGAAGCAGTAACCTCGAATCAATCCTCCTCCGAAGTAAGGAAAACTTTGAAACGCAAAACATGAAAGTTAGGCTTTTTAAACATAACAATCCGCTTGGTACCAGGGCCGCTTTTCAATTAAAAGCCTTTGACCTATTTCTCTCGTACTGCCTAAAACAAGCCGAAAATTTCACACGGTTCCGCGTAAGTCGATCAATTCCCTAGAGAAAATTATAATAATACGTTGCGTACTGCGATTCATTCAACTAACACGCAGACATGAATAATTTGTAAACAAGTTTTCATTAGTAAGGAAGATAAAAATTATCACATTTGCACCCAGTGACATGCATTTACTCCAATGAAGTTGATCTAATTTAGTTCGCAAAAAAAAAGCTTTTAAACATAGCGCTACTGCAAAGTAACGGAACGAAAATGTCTAACTTAAAACTTGGGCGTCGTTGAAGTGTCGCAGTGCATATATACCTAACTAGGATTCACCTATTTTACTCAGGTTTTTTTTAACTTTTTTCGTCAGACGAATTCTGAGCGTCTGCATTGTTTCTCGGTGCCACATACTTAATTTTTTGCCACAAATCTATATTAATGGAAGAGATGATGATAGTAAACTTCTGTTTTCCTTTGCAATAGTTTGCATTACCTGCACGGCGCATCTATACTAGTTATTCATTTTGCGTAGTCTGACTTAGCTTATTCAACCACTGAACCACCACTGAAGACTGCAATGAGAGAAGAAGTGATATTGAAAGGTTTACTGATACCAATATTTAATGAAGTTCCTCTTGAAGAGCTGCCTCAATAATTACACCTTATAGTTAGTCATTTAATAGAAAATCTGTCTTCTAGTTAATTGAAATTAAAGGAAAAGAGACACAATCAGTTGCATTTTTAGCATCTTGATTGATTGTGTTGCAGGCGTTATCCGTATTTTTTTTTGTCAATCTTCTTTTCGGACACATGTGCACGCATATACTACGTAACGGATGACGTGAAACCATTTTTTGCTTGCTTCGTGCTTATCCCAGTTGATGTGGTGTGTCTGAACTTGTTATATGGCGATGTCGGCTAGCAAAAAAATCTTCGTTGACATCACTGGGAGTCAGCCAAATGAGGACTGCGTACGCATAAAATGGGTAGCTTATATAGTCCTTTGATAGAAGACCTAAAATTCTCCCGCAGCGTTACGTGCCGCCGCAGGCCAACGAAACAGTCAACGTGTTGAAGCGGTTCTGTTTAAATCGCTCTTAATTACCCTCGGGGATAACGACACAGTAAAACAAGAGAACGTTTTTTTATCATCGTGAAGGTAGTTACCAGCCTCGGCTTAGGAGCCTAGAAAGATCGTTAAGAACGGGGACGAAGTGCTGGGAAGGCTGTGTACTAGGACAGGGTTGACGCCTATTAACAAGAGGGTCAAAATTACTATCACGTTCCCTCGCCATTTCGAGATGCTTTAAGCCCGGCATTGCCTTTTGTGACATCGTTGTCGTAAGAACCGCTGCTGGTGGCAACGGTATCGCCAAGCCGTTACTTGGCCTAGCAGTTTGAGAAGGGACATAGTTACTTTTGGGGACCTCTCTTCGTCAGCATTACACCACCCAATAGGTCGCGCCCTTGGATAACGGCTTGGTCTAAGACGAAAGAACATGGAGTGAACTGCCGCGACTGTTTCCTTACCACCACAGTATAGCGAGTGCAACGGTGAATGAGTAGAAATGCTCGGTGGGTCTGTCGGTATGCCGCTCTGACCTTTTGAGCACGTGAGTCAGTAATACCGGCAGTCCTTGTGGTACTTAGAGAGCCGAAAGTCGAGGTGGAGTTCAGAAAAAGGCAGAAAAAAGGGGCTGACCTGACCCAGTCATGTGGCGACAATCTGAACTGAATAATGCCCTTAAAGCTTTACAACCCTCAAGAACCGCCACGTTACTACTAAGCCTTAAGCAGTTTCTACCGAACGAGCTTGAACTGAGCAATATCAACAAATTAATCTAGACTTAGTAAATGATTCAATAAAGGGCCTCAACATTCTTAGTCGGCGTCCTGTATAGCAAACAGCTCATTAAACTGTGTATCTATCCCTTATTCCGCTGTACGCAACGCAGTGAACTCATGCGTAAATAAAGCTTCAACAAAATTTTATTAACGTTCCATTTTTCTATCCTAACGAAAATACACCATGACCAAAGTCGTTTAAAAATGCATTCAATTAACGCCTATCAAATTATTGTCTGTCCTAATGGTCAGTGCTCACTGACGCAAGCCCAGGATTTAGTCCATCATCTTAGCAAATACAGAAAAGCAGTAACGTTAAAAATGCCCCTCCCGCATAATGTTTCTGCAGATTATAGGATAGCCTGGCAAATTTGTTTATCAGTCGGTGCCTTCTGGTGATGACGGTGGATGGCGTACAATTCAGACTATACTGCAGCACATGACACAGACAAGATGTGGTCGTTAATACACGTGGCGTGTGATTTTAGGAAGCTGGCTGCTAAAATAAAGCTAGCTAGGTATAGGAAAACATTGCTCAAAAGCCTCAAGCTGTAGAAATCGAAGCAAAGAGACTACAACCAATGTGCGATTCGTACCTACATCCCATATTCTTTCTTGAAAAAGTGTGAATACACGAAACGTTTCATACGATACGAACTTATCTAATTTTCTATTAGTTTACACTGAGGCTCCGCTATCATTTGCTGCCCCTATCAAATATATATGCTGTAATATAATACAATATACCTATCATTCAAAGTGCAAAGTGTGCACATAGAGGATATATTTACATTTTACCCTCGGGTAGAGTGAGATCGATGCCTTTGAGCACTTCAGTAGCTCGACTACCGTAACCATAGGTGACGCGCAGACGGTCGACATCCACCGCGAGTTTTTGCGTTCGTCGCATGGTTTCCGGATCGGAAGGGAGCCGGCCCAAAGCGATTTTGCCCCCACTCGGCGCATCCCTACCGCCGCTCCCTCCATTGGTCTCGTTGAGGGCATTGTGTGATGCCACGAAGCCCTCGTTGTCGTGGGCGCCACCGACACGGGCCTGGGCGTAACCACCCTGTGCGTTGTACGTTGACGAATACGACACAGACTCGATCGCCGCGCCGCCTTTACTGTTGTAACGAGGAAACTGTAACAAGAACAGGTGACAGGATCTAAAGTAAGTCAGTGAAAATTATGACAGAAATAACAATAGCTCATTACACTATATTGTTGCACTAAAAGCGAAATAAGTGACAAGGGATCTAGTTTGACTATGTTTATACTTTGTTGTGTTTTCACTTGTAGATTTTAGTGAATCACGGTAGAGTAGACGGCCTCTAGATAAAAAAAAAAAGAAAAGATTATTCATGCTCGAATCGGATGAACGTATCGAGCCAATTGCCGAACACTCAAAACTACGTTCCAATACAACGCTATAGAATGTTACTAGGGCACATATTTATGTTGTGCTACGCGAAGCGATATGAACTAGTCACTAGCGTTTAGCTAAAATGATTCGTATAAAGATTCGTAGTATACACGTGTCCTAGACTAAGAAAAACCGATTCCTGATGGGATCTAATCGAGGGGCGAACGAAGTCTTCCACCAACATCTTCTGAGGTCATACACAATTACCATTAAAGATCCCCAGCTGTCCTGCCAATCCTCTACGATGTTGCACACACCCCGACTCGAGTTACGGCCACTGCGTTTCCATTTACGGTGCAGTGGCCTACCTTCACCCAATTACTCATACACATTGGTAAGAGGCTGATTCTTCCACTAAAAATCAATCAAATGTCTCAAACACTTGCATCACCTGTATTACTTACGTCTATTTGTGTACCGGCAAAAACGAGGGCCATTTGAAAGATAGAAACTCATTCTTTGTTCTCATCTATGTTCAGCCATTAATGGTACTAATAAAAATAAGCAGCCCAACGGTTCTGCCAAACGGTCAGCATTGGTATACTCTTTTACGAGCAGTATTTTTTGTGGTCAGTGTCCGCTACTGAAAGTTGCTGGGCGGTCGTAGTACAGTATATAATCATAGGGCAGAGCCCAACTATAACAGGAGGTCTCGACGGGCAATTCAAGTGCATCGTAGTCATAGATGTAATACACACAAAAGCGTGTATATCAACGCAATTGTAATACTTCTAATTATTGAAGCGCTTAAGCCTAGTTATAGCCTGAGACCCCGTGACATTTATTTGTCTGATGAAGCAGCTCCTGGCATAGGATCAGCAGTAAATAGGACAACGAAAGTAGCTGTCGGAAACTGATGTTCGTTTAATAACGCTATACTCTCTTCCCCCCCAACTTCGTTGTTATGCAGTACCTCTTCGGCAACTCTTCCGAGAAGTCCAGGGCTAGAAACCTTTTCCGTTGACTCACCGATTGGTCGTGCGGCCGAGCGGTTGGTATAAGCAGTTAGTGCTTGCTCATCAATCTGCATTCAATGAATATAGAGACCGTCAATGGCGTTTTAACAAACGACGACGACGACGACGACGACGACGACAACAACACTCTAACTCCTGTTAAACCAGCGGATTATCAAACGCTTTCCTGTTTAACTAACTGGACAATCGTACCATTATGCAAAGTTGTAAAATCTGGTTAAAAAAACGATGGTTAACCAGCGGATTTGGTCGACCAGTCGGTCTCATAGCGCCTAGCATTAGAAGGCCGATGTGTGAGGGCTCGCGTGTTGCGAATCATAGTTACATATAACGAATGGACGCCGATTCATAAAGGACTGTAGCAAAGCAAAAAGAAATCTTACGAGGGAAGACCTTATGGGCAGAGCCGAACGTTGAAGTTTCGTGTCAGCGATCTCTTCTAGATAAGTTTGTCTAATTTGCATTTATAACGTACTAGGATAATTAACGTGCGCCGAGACACTTCGCATCCGCTGCACAATGTTATCTTAACAACAGGAGGGCTGCGCGTTCCCCATATTAGGCCCAAAGACATAATCATAAGCTGACTGATCAGACTGCTAGACCTGGTAACATTATTAACAAAATACTCGCATTATTCCGGCTAGATATTCTTCACTAAAGTGATACAGTTATTTTCCATGCGATTCTGGAATTGCACACTGCCGCTACTCATTTGTCGACCTTTAGGCATGCAACATATGCAGATAACTACCTATATTTGTAAAACGTCCTCCTGTGACATTTATAAGCCGTAGCCTAAACGTGATTCCTACCTTCATCGCGATTTGTAATCCACCTTGTTCTTAACGACTCCTTCGCAATCAGTATTGTCACAGGTTGAAAAGTCTGCCGTATTCACACTCCACCATTTCAATAGGTAAATACGTTTATTGTCGTTCCCAGTTACTCAACCCGTCTGATTTGCAAATGTAAGTATTAGCTTCTAGACGTTTCCGAAAAAAAAAAAACGCATGAACGACAATTTTTAAGTTGCGTAGCCGTGAAAACTAGACACACACACTAACGGTCAAATTGTACATCCAGGATCAACTTAGCTAGAGACAACTGGAATGCTCCACGTCACATTCTATTTTGTACAAAATCTGATATTCACCAATCCTCTGTCGAGTCCACTAGAAATAATGTCGACAAGGGTAGTCGTCGATCTTCCGGATAGCCAAAGAAACCTTACGCATTGAAAATACCCTATCGAAATAAGTGTATACTGGAACGTAAGGCTGACGAAAGCCAACTGAGAAGCCATGCGTCAGATCGATGTTTCAAGTAGAAGGGTATTACTACGTTTTCTTTCGAGGACAGAAATTACTAGTATTGGTCTATTGACGTCACTACGAGGCACTCGGCCGAAGTATCCTCCCGTAATGACACTTGTTACCTTTGTCGGAATCTAAAAAAAGTTCAACTTTATATTTCAGTGATTATCCCGTCCGAGGCACGCACAACTTGCGACTGACACGCCACCAGTCAGTAACGTTTGGGATATAAAACAGGCTACGAAGGTTCTTCGTAAACGGTCGGACGAGGTCAAAACTCCGTTCGGGTCTCGAGTTGTGTTCATCGGTGTCTACAAAAGGATCAACGGAGCGTCAGGATCCGCCTTAATCAAAGCGTCGTCTTGGGCAAGGGCCAGCAACAATAGATGTCCTATTTCTCATAATACGACTTTCTAAATCCGAATTGTAGTCGTTGTGGGTCGTTGCACGAGAACGCGCAACCGGTCAGATAATAGTTATTCTTGGACTACTAACTTGACGTCATCAATGACGGTAAGTTATTAGCAAGGCAGAACTGTTTCCAAGGTGTCTTAGATATTTAATAAGGGGCTTGAGGACGACTACGAACCGATGAGCATCGGCTTCAAAGACGCGAATAAATTTTGCCAATCGATCTAGTGGGGGATGTAGAAGAGACTAAAACGAACCTGGTAATACTAAGCGTTTGACATAAACGCAATAATACTACTCTAAGTTTTCTTTATAGCATAAAAAGTAAGCGGTTTACATTATTAGTTGCTATTTCATTTCAATTCATAAGAGTTTACCATGTTCGTGTACAAATCTAAAAAACCGACAGATCCACTTTCGATAACCCGAACCACCAGCGTCACCGGCTCAAAATATTCTTCCAATAGACGTATACGGTTTTTCATGGATCGACTAGACAGATCGCTGCGAAAACTACTAGGAAATAAGGTTCATCAGTTTCAGTAAAACGTCCATGAATTGAAAACAGCAAGAACATGACGGACCGTTCGCTGGGATTACTCTACTGTGTACGCTATCATCGTATCTGTCGGCGGTCAGGGAGGCTAGTGACAGCAGTTAAATAAACAGCAAAAAAAAACGCTGACAGCCTAATAGAAATAGGCGCAAAACGTTCCGCTCTTTATTCGTTGACGTTAGTAAAGCCGAAGCGCATTTAAAGACATGTACGTACATAATGGCCTTATTTTGAGCTAGTTAGCAGAACAGGAACATACATGCATGTAAGCATTGTATCGCCGACCCAATGCTCAATAAAAAAATTTAGCCGGGGAACAGCCAAACGACAATCCTATACCGGCCGATTGTGTCAGATATGTGTTGCTTTTCATGCAACTCAACATACTAGCTCATCATGATGTAAGTACCTGATCCGACCATGATTAGGAAATCAATCGTTATTATACCAAACGAAAACATCAACAGGCTCGACTAAAATCTATTATCTATATGGCTAAAGCTACAATCATCTAAATACTTTTAGTTTAATCGACACTGCAGTACCTTCTAGAAATAAAATCATGCAAGTTTATACATATAAGGCACATGTAGCGCAATACTTAAGCAGCCTACCCGAACCCCGTGGGCGGTTAACTAATAATTAGAGTCAAACTTCTGTTCTCATAAAAACAATGCCAATACAACCACCTTTCCACCTTTTCCAGTCATCTGTCAAGGCGTGTTTATCTTCATCGACGACTATATGGTTCAATGTTTATACATACACACATACCTATATACATTTGTATAAGCCAACACGCAATGTGAACGGAGCGCGTACGCAGGTAGTGTAGGCAAGGCCTACGGCACAAAACTGACCCACTCAGAAAAGGATAGCCATAGCTTTTACTATGACATTTGCCTAGTATGTAATCTATATACATACGTAATTAATAGTCAGTCGAGCAACTATCATGAGTCGATGATTCTTCAAACAACGGCGCTAATCAATGAAGACATCGAATCTCGATCGACGACAGACTCTAGTATCATTTGTCCACCAGTATATAATGGTACCTACTTGTAGGTACAAGGTCAGTAGGACGTTACGTACCGCAGTTGTGGAATATAGTAAAATCCAATTGTATTGTATCCTTATCTATTCAAGTTCGTCCTTTTTTGGCCTTTCATTAATCGATTCGCATGTGACCTACAATCTGCAGCTACTTTTGCATGTTTCATCATAGAGCATTGATAACCTGCCCCTACGGAAATGACCTATACTAAGCGCCAGATAACAGGTGATCAATGTTTGTTTAGTACATCTGCGTTGACAGAAACTTATAGGCGTAAGTAGCTCCAGATACTTCTGCTGGTCATGTTGCGTATTGCAATTACTCAATATGTAGATCCAGTTTTGGCCCTCGTGTGCATCATTTACGTATAGGATGATTCATCTAAACGCAGAAATTTGTGA